CTCAAGGAGGCCTGAATCTCGGCCCTAGTGGGAAATCCCTTCCTTTTCACTGTATCTCAGTGTAGGGACAGTAAAAACAGTTACTGCTCATTGTATCAACTGATCCTATATATATATATATTGAGACAGGCTCCCTCTGTTGCCCAGGCTAAAGTGCAGTGGTGAAATCATGGCTCACTTCAGCCTTAACCTACTGGGCTCAAGCAATCTTTTCACCTCAGTCTCCCAGGTAGCCAGGACTACAAGTGTGAGGTACCACACCTGCCTTTTTTTTTTTTTTTTTTTTGGTAGAGAGAGGGTCTCACTGTGTTTCCCAGGCTGGTCTCAAACTGCTGCCCTCAAGCAATCCTCCTGCCTTGGCCTCCCAAATTGCTGGAATTATAAGCATGAGCTACCATGCATGTCTCTGCTAGTCCTGTGTTTTCTAGACTTCTCTTTACTTTTGCAGCCAATCTCATTATGGTGTTGCCCTGTTATAATTAACTTATTTTATGTTAAATTTTACCACTTTAAACTTTTGAGTGGTTTATGTCTTTTGATTGAACTCTGACAAATACAGAGCTGTTGCTAGGAAGGAAGACAGACTCACACAGATGAGATTTAGGCATAGGTTTGGTTATGTAAGGGGTAACACTGAGCCTCTTGCCAGTGGGAAATGAGACGCTGGTGATCTCCAGGAAGCGACCTCATAAGGCCTCAAGCTACCCCTTGCTGTTACTTGTGATGAAATACCAGCTGAGGCACATGCCTTGGGAGCTAAGTGGCTTCTGCACTTGACCAGTATGAAGACTGGCGTGGGAAGAGTTCTTCTGGATGCACTTGAGCAGGGGCCTCTAACCCCTGGGTCACAGGCCTGTACTTGGCCACACAGCAGGAAGTGAGCGGGTGGGAGAGCAAATCTTCATCTGTATTTACAGCTACTCCCCTTATTACTGCCTGATATCTGCCTCCTGCCAGGTCAGCTGCAGCATTAGATTCTCATAGGAACACAAACCCCATTGTGTAACAGTGCATGCAAGGAATCTACATTAGTCTGTCCTTAGGAGAATCTAATGCCTGATAATCTGTCACTGTCTCCCATCACCCCCAGATTGGACCATCTAGTTGCAGGAAAACAAGCTCAGGACTCCCGCTGACTCTACTTCATGGTGAGTTATATAATTATTTCATTATATGCTACAATGTAATAATAACGAAGTGCATAATACATTTAATGTGCTTGAAATACCCCAAAACTGATCCCCTGCCCCAAGTCTGTAGAAAAATTGTCTTCTACAAAATTGGTCCCTGGTGTAAAAAAAATTGGGGACCACTGCATTTGAGCACTTACCGAGAGAAAAACAAAAAACTCAAGTCTTTACCTCTCAGCAAAAGTCATGGTCTAAGATCCGGAGAGCTTCCACGATAGCCCAAACACAATTCCTTATTTCTTGTATTGACAGGGCTGATATTATTGCAAATCAAACACAAACTTAAATATGTGGGTTGCTGAATTATAGTGACAGTTGGATTCACTGTGCCACCAAGGTTCTCATGAGAACATTAGGGTACTATAGGTAAGAATGGGATTTTTTTTTTTTTTTTTGAGACAGTCTCCGTCTGTTGCCCAGGCTGGAGCACAGTGGTGTGACCTTGGCTCACTGTAGTCTCAACCTCCCAGGCTCAAGCTCTCCTCCCACCTCAGCCTCTGGGGTAGCTGGGACCACAAGCACGAGCCACCACACCCAGCTAATATGTTGTGTTTTTGGAGAGATGTGGTTTCACCACATTGCTCAGGCTGGTCTCAAACTTCTGGGCTCAAACTATCTGCCCACCTTGGACTTCTAAAGTTTTGAGATTGCACGCAGGAGCCACCATTCCTGGCCCTATTTTCTTTTACACTGATTTATTGTGAGGACCTCCAACTGTCTTCCTGACTTCTAGGCTTGCTCACTTCAAGCTGTTCAATGAAGCCAGAGGCATTTTTCTAAAAGGCAAATTTGGGTCGAAATGGTCCTTGACTAAAACCTGTTGGTGACTGCTTATTGCCTTTAAGATAGAGTCCAAACTGATTTGGCCATGGGGCCTGGTAAGAGCTGGCCTTGGCTCACTTTCCCAGTTTTATTCTGTGCTACCCTCCCCATACCCCTACCCTCCAGTCACATGAAATGTCAGTTTTCTTGGGGGACTTCACTGGTCCTTCTTCAGGAAACACTCCCTACCCTCACCATCACTCTTTCTTCTCATCTTTGTTCATCTTTAGCCTCAGCTAAGATGTTTCACCTCACTCTCTATGATGCAACAAGAAGCCTCTTGGGAGCATTTCTGCCCCACTGCGTACTTCTGTCATTGAGCTCATCACAGTATGGTAAGTGTTGGTGTACGATTCCTATATTAGTCCATTTGGCATTGCTATAAGAAAGCACATCAGGCTGGGTAGCTTATAAAGAAAAAAGGTTGGCCAGGCATGGTGGCTTACACCTCTAATCCCAGAATTTTGGAAGGCCAAGGCGGGCAGATCATGAGGTCAAGAGATTGAGACCATTCTGGACAACATGGTGAAACCCTCTCTCTACTAAAAATATAAAAATTACCTGGGCTTGATGGTGTGCACCTGTAATCCCAGCTACGTGAGAGGCTGAGGCAGGACAAATGCTTGAACCCAGCAGGCACAGGTTGCAGTGAGCCGACATTGCACCACTGCACTCCAGCCTCGGTGATAGAGTGAGACTCTGTCTCAAAAATAATAACAATAATAATAAACTTAGCCGGGAATGGTGGCACATGGCTGTAATCTCAACTACTTGGGAGGCTGAGGTGGGAAGATCATTTGAGCCCAGATGATGGAAGCTGCAATGAGTCATAATCACCCCACTGTACTTCAAAGCCTGTGTGACAGGGTGGACTCTGTCTCAAAAGAAGGAGAAAAAATGAAAAAAAAAATTGTTGGGTTAAAAAAAAAAAGGGTAACAAAAAGGCTAAACCAGCAAAGGTGTCAGGAGAGTACTGTAAATGTGGGTCATGTCAGTGGAGCGCAGGGACTTGGGCAGGAGTGTCTGGACTTGAAGAGCAGTTTGGTGGGGACCAGATCATTCATCCCACGCAGTTTGCCCTGTAGCGTGTACGTCAGATATCCCACATTGGCCGCTGGTGACTGAACTGGGCTTCCTGTTTCTGTGTTTGGTTTGCCCATCACAGTATTGAAAAACCTTTGAAGTGAATACCTTGCAGTTTGCTACAGTCCCCCGCGGTGTCCCATATTATTTCAGCCTCCTTTCCTCATGTAGATTTTTCGACCCACTGAGACCTGTGTTTGCTATGGGGGAAAGCAGGAGGGCAACAGAAAGTAAAAATCCTCCAGCCCCCGGTCTTCCCAGGTAATCCCCCATTCAATCCCAAGCAAGGCCTGCCCCAGGTTAGCTCCCATGCTGGGGCACCCTTAGGCTGCTGTGGCGTCTGAAAGCTGCTGCATCAGACTTCCACAGGAGGCCCCTGTGGAAATGGGGGAGCAGGGGAGTGGGAAACGGATGGCCAAAAAATAAGGGGGCAGTTGGAAAGCATTGCAACATACGGCAGAAAGCAGGAAAAGAGTAGGAAGCCAAATACTACAGCCTCCGGTCTCCCCATGCAGTCCCCAATCCAAGTCTTAGACAGAACTGATCATGCTTGGCTTCCAGGAAGGGGCACATTCAGGCTGCTATGGCACTCAAAGGCTGCCAGGATGGACCACCACAGGGAGGTATCTGGTGCGAGCGCAGGCATGGGGGAAAGGGACAGCTAGGGAGTCGGAGTGGTGTGGAAGCATTGTGACAAACGGGGGAAGGCAGGAAGGGAGCGGGAACCCAAAAGCCTCCAGCCCTCGGTCTCTCAAGGCTGTCCCCCATCCAAGCTTCGGCCAGGCCCATCCCTGCTTTGCTTCTGAGCTGGGGTGTCCTGAGGCTGCTATGGCACCGGGGGCTGCTGGCACGAATTGCACAGGGAGGTCACGGATTGCGGTATAAGCGCAGGTTAGTGAAAAAGAGGGGACCTCTTTTTCATTCACAGCGCTTGCTGTGAATGGGCCATACATATCATTCCAAGCTTCCCAGCAGCCAAGGTGAAAAGGGAAATGTAGTCAGTTACTTAGCTCTGGTGTCCATGAGATAAAGAGGACCTCATTGCTCAGCATGGTAGACTCTTCCTGGTTCCAGGGCAAGCTGGGACTGCTTTGGCCCCTCCCCCTCAGGACCTCCATAGCGTGGACTGTGATGTTATAAACTTTGGCGGTCTAGGCAAGGTCTCTGTGTCAGCCGATGCCAGCCCTCCTGGCACGGGGCTTCAGCAGCTTTTCCGTTGGTGTTGAGGGCTGTGGGGTGGCCGTTTCTGGTTGCTAAGGATAGAGACCAGCCATATCGTCGTGGGTGCTCAGGGCTAGAGGGGCAGGACACACAGCTCCTCATGGTCCTTGTGGGGGAGTCCCAGGGCTCATGGAGGTGGGGGCAGTTAGAAAGTGTCACCCCGACCAGCCCGGGGCAGAGCACCAGCCTGGGGACCTCTAGATCTCGGTCATGTCTCTGCCTTGTTTTTTTTTTCTTCTTTCTTTTTTTTTTTTTTTTTTTTTGAGACGGAGTGTCGCTCTTGTTACCCAGGCTGGAGTGCAATGGCGCGATCTCGGCTCACCGCAACCTCCGCCTCCTGGGTTCAGGCAATTCTCCTGCCTCAGCCTCCCGAGTAGCTGGGACTACAGGCACGCGCCACCATGCCCAGCTAATTTTTGTATTTTTAGTAGAGACGGGGTTTCACCATGTTGACCAGATGGTCTCGCTCTCTTGACCTCGCGATCCACCCACCTCGGCCTCCCAAAGTGCTAGGATTATAGGCATGTGTCACCGCGCCCGGCCCTTGTCCCTGCCTTGTTGTATGACCTTGAGCAACTCAACCCTGGGTCTTCCGGGCCTCAGTCACCACATCCATAAAATGGGATTCATAACCCTCGCCCTGTCCACTCACTTGGTTGTTCCAAGGGCCACATGGGAGGCCAAATGGAAGCAAAAGGCGTTGTAAAGTCCAGTGAGGGAAACTGGGACGGGCTGGCATCCTGGTTTCAGGCTGCAGGGCCTGAGGCCACAGGCTTGAGTCAGGGTTGGGGGCAGGGGGTCCTGGTGAGCGTTTGCTAGGATCAGCCTCTCCTTTTTTCTTTCTTTCTTTCTTTTTTTTTTTTTAAGACGGGGTTTCATCATGTTGGTCAGGCTGGTCTTGAACTCCCAGCCTCAGGTGATCTGCCTGCCTTGGCCTCCAAAGTGCTTGGATTACAGGCGTGAGCCACCACGCCCAGCCTTGCCTCTCATTTTTTCAATGTCTGGGGAATTCACAGCCTAGGGCTGCTCGGTCAGCAGGTTGGTGGCGACACAGCCACACGTCAGCTCACCTGGTCTCTCACCCCACAGCCTGGGACTACAGCCAGGGCTTCATGAACGAGGAGATGATCCCGGACCACCTTCCGCCCCCGGAGGAGGAGCCGCTGATGCTGATGTGTGGCCCCCCACCCATGATCCAGTATACCTGCCTGCCCAACCTGGACCATGTGGGCCACCCCAAGGAGCGCTGCTTCGCCTTCTGAGGACCAGGCACAGTCACACGGCCACCTGCCCAGCGCCCCACGCCCCGTCCACGCTCACCCTGTCACTTCCCCACATCGCACACTGGGGCTCTGGGTTCAGCCTGGCCTGCCCGTGCCCTGGTGCATCATCCGGCTCAGCAGGCCTCCTGGGGCCCCTTTGGGAGCAGGGCTCCGTCCCAGGTGGGCCACGGCTGAGCCTTCAGGGTGGGTCCTGCCGGCACTTACTGGTTCTTACCAGAGACGCCCCGCCCCATCCCTGTCCTCGTGACCCCTCGTCCACCCCACACACACACTACAAGGCCGAGGGCTGCCAGCAGCCCCCTCGGCCCACCCTTCCCGGCCTTGGTCCACAGTCAGGATGTCAGCAGATGCGGATGGGCAGTCCACAGCTGCAGGTGCCAGGGCCCCCCCCCAGCCTCACCTGTCGCCACCACTCCCGCCTCAGGGCCGGGCCCAGGCCTCAGCACCTGACACTGCATGAGACAGCGACACCAGAAAGCCCCCTTGGGGGCGCTGCTCCCCACCCCGGGCTCTGGCCAACCAGGAGCTTGGCTCACCTCTGGCTAGAGTGGGAAGAGGGTGCTGGCCACGGACCCTCGGCATTTCCTTCCAACCCATCCAAACACAGAGGCAGCCTTGGGAGCCCCGAGCTGTGGGCTGGGCAGCCCACTGCACCGCCTGGTTGTTTCGGGGTCCTGGGCTGGGGCCACCATCCCCGGCAGCAGGACTCCCATAACCACTTGTGTTTATTCCTGTGTCCTACACCGTCCCCTCCTGCCCTCACCCCCAGCACAGGGGGATTCTGAGCAGTGCCTCTCGTCTGAGGGACGTTGGTGACCTCGACATTGCCTTTAGACTACAGTTTGTGTTAGTTTCTTGTGTATCAGCTTTTCCAGAGTCATTTATGAGCAGAAAAAAAATGAAGTAAACTTTGCTAATATTAACCCTTCTGTAGCTCCTCAAGGGTCTGTGACCTGCATCACAAGGGGTGGGGGGACAGGAAAGGGCTGGGAAGACCCAGCATTTCTTTTTTCTTTTTCTTTTTGAGACAGAGTCTCCCTCTGTCACCCAGGCTGGAGTGCAGTGGTGTGATCTCAGCTCACTGCAACCTCTGCCTCCCAGGTTCAAGTGATTCTCCTGCCTCAGCCTCCTGAGTAGCTGGGATTATGGGCACGCACCACCACAGCCAGCTAAATTTTTGTTTTTTAAGAGACAGTCTTGCTCTGTCATCCAGGCTGGAGTGCAGTGATGCAATCTCCACTCACTGCAACCTCCGCCTCCCAGGTTCAAGCGATTCTCTTGCCTCAGTCTCTGGAATAGCTAGGATTATAAGCCTGCGCCACCACATCCAATTTTTTTGTTTTTTTGGTTTTTTTTTTTTTTTTTTTTTTGTACTTTTCATAGAGATGGGGTATCACCATGTTGGCCAGGCTGCTCTCAAACTCCTGACCTCAGGTAATACACCCGCCTCAGCCTCCCATAGTGCTGAGATCACAGGCCCTAGCCACCGCGCGTGGCCAACACTTTCAAAATAACCGTTGTAACAGGTTTTATACACTCCTGAATTCATAGGCAGTATCACCTACCTATGGGAAGAATGTAAAACATCAACACAGCGGTGGCTCATGCGTGTAATCCCAGCACCTTGCAAGGCAGGTGGGTAGATCACCTGAGGTCAGAAGTTCGAGACCACACTGGCCAACTTAGCGAAACCCCGCCTTTACCAAAAATACAAAAATTAGCCAGGCATGGTGGCCCGTGCCTGTAATCCCAGCTACTAGTGGGGCTGAGGCAGGGCAATCACTTGAACCTGAGAGACGGTGGTTGCAGTGAGCCGAGATTACACCACTTACACTCCAGCCTGAGTAACAAGATCGGGACTCTGCCTCCAAAAAAAAAAAAAAACAAGGGAGGGAGGACTCCAGTGAAACCATGCAGGCAAACGCTGAGCGGGTCCCGGGACACACGTGGAGCGGGCGCGGGATCCTGGGAATCGCTGCCGGGCTCGGCCGTCTGGGTCGGCGGCACAACCAGCGAGCGGGACCCGAATTCCTTCTGCTGCGGAGCGCTGCTCTGGTGGAAGTTCCGTTTGTTCCCACTGGGCCTGCCAGTCTGCAGTAGAGTCTGCAAGGGGCTTCTCCACTCCGGGAATGCCCCAGGACGTTGGGAGGGCCAGGACCCCACCCGCTTACCCCTCCACTTGCCCCCCCATCCCTGTCTTTGGGACCAAACCTCCAAACAAAGCTCCGAAATGCCCCGGGGACGTGGCCATCCCAGACTTAGAAAACTTGTTTATGACTCAATTGTGAGGGCCTTTTTAAAAAGTCCTCGGGGCGCAGTGGCTCACACGTGTTATTCCAGCACTTTGGGAGCCCTGGCAGGCAGATCACCGTAAGTCAGGAGTTGGAGACCATGCTGGCCAACATGGAGAAACCCGTGTCTAACCAAAAATACAAAAATTAGCGGGGCATCGTGGCACAAGCCTGTAATCCCAGCTACTCGGGAGGCTGAGGCAGGAGACTCGCTTGAACCCGGGAGGCATTGTTGCAGTGAGCTGAGATCACACCATTGCATTTCATCTTGGGCGGCAGAGCAAGACTCCGTCTCAAAAAAAAAATTTTTTCCTCCGCATCTGCCCTACAGTGCCCAGCTGATCCCACTGGCCAGCCCCTCCTCCTCCCTCGTCTGGCGCGTTCCTCCTGGCATCCCTAGAAGGGAGGAAAGGGTGAATATTCCCGTTTTATGGGTGAGGAAAAGAGGTCGGGGAAGGAGCCCAACGTGGTGGTGCAGGCCTGTAGTCCTAGCTACTCCAGAGGCTGAGGCAGGAGGATCCCTCTTACCCAGTTTCTGTCTTTTCTTTCTTTCATTCGTTCTCCCGGTTTCCTTCCTTCCTTTCTTCCCCCCTCCCCCCCAGTTTCCTTCCTTCCTTCTTTTCCTTTCTTTCTTCCCCCCAGTTTCTTTCCTTTCTTTTCTTTCTTTTTTTCCCTGTTTCCTTCCTTCCTTTCCTTTCTTCCCATTTCCTTCCTTCCTTACTCTTTCTTTCCTTTCTATTTTCCCCCGTTTCCTTCCTTCCTTCCTTCCTCTTTTTCTTTTTTCCCCTCCCTTCCTTCCTTTCTTCCTCTCTCTCTCTTCCTTCCTTCTTTCTCCCCCCTCTCCAACCTGTTCTAAGGGCACGGAGTGTATTTTTAGTGATTGTATTAATATGTGCCGAACACCTACCTCAGGCCTGACACATGCTGGAGGCTGGGGTTGTATCAATGTAAAAGCCATTCCCTGTATTTAACACGTAAATGACTCTCTTTAACTCTTTTTAGAGTTGGGAGAGTCTCTTTAATTCTCCCAATGCCCTGCATGTTATTTGCTCCATTTTACAGATTAGGAAGACAGAGGCACAGAGAGATGAAGCGCTTAGCTCGTGAAAGTCATGCCGCCACTGGGACTTGAGCCGGGCAGTCTTCCAGCTCTCACCCTCAGGAGCACTGCATTATAAAGTCCCAAAGTGAACATGTTGTACCCAAGCGAGTCAAGGAATGCGCCACAGTGAGATTGAATTATGAGTCCTTTATTATGCCGGTGACCAAGAGGTGGCTAACGCCCAAAATTCTCTCTCGGCCCCTAAAAAAAGTTAGGTGGTCTTTTATACCCTAATTTTAAAGGAGAGGGGCAACTTAGCTGAAGCAAATTTTTCGCAAAAGCAGAGTAAGCCAAACGTTAAAAGATAAACTAGTACATGAGAAATAAAACAGTGCCAGGTGCAAGGGGTAAAGCTGTCATGAAAGACATACAACTAATAGATAATGGGGGCTCTGGGCACTCGACAGCACCTGCATTCCCAGGCTCTGCTGGTACCACTTAACTCGGCCTCTTATCAGCAAATGCATTCCTGGAGGTGCCCAGTGTCAGCCTGGCCCAGCTACGTATTACAGTTACGTACTTAATGGTGGGAAAATAACTAAAATGAAGAGGCTAAGATGGAGTCTGTCCGGCTCAAGAAGCTAACATGAAGCCTGAACAGCTTTCAGTCTGAGAAAGAGTCAGTTTTAGCTGGCAACAAACTGAGCTGCTGTGCGAGGCTTGAGAAACAAGCACAGGGAAGTGGTTATACGGGGAAGTTTCAGGGAACTGGGTAAAACTGCATATATGGAAATTGCCCGCTTCTGGGTCACAATGTCAATATCATGAGTAACTTCAGAGCGGCCAACGCGCAGTTGGCGAATGGGGAACAGCGGTGGAGAATCGCAGATCGTCCCCTGGCAGGAAAGAAGCTGCCTAGGAACAGATGCCACCCGACGACGGAAAAACAGAACCACAGCAAGGTACCCGCCCACAGCACGACGCTCCACAGTCTACTTTTTCGGAGTAATGGGGTCGGGCAGATCGCGACTCCCAGGCATCCCGCAAAGTAGGCGGGTCACCTCAGGGGCGACCTTTACCCGCTCAAAAATTCGTCTCACATTAGCAGTGAGGATTCGGGCGTCACCCCGAATCGTTATTTTCCTTACTCATAAGTTTAAGGCATAAGGAAACGGGGCGCTCATTCACGAAGTAATGATCTGTGCTCTCATTAGGCTTAAGATGAGTATCGTAGTTGATTGTTGAGCGCATGATCCGGTTCCTTTGACGTTTATCTTACTTGTTAATGAATTTATTTTGTCGCTTTTCATTTAATTATTTTCGTCAAAGAGAATAAGTAATTCATAATGTGCCGATTCTCTGTATGCAGATAAGCAGCCAGCACCGCGAAGGCCCACGGGGGAAGGGGGGAGAGTCCCCGCCCCTTCCGGTTCTTGCCTGCTTTGTGCAGGCTGTCGCGAGAGTTGGTCGGCGGACGCCGGAAGTAGTTCGTCGCTCCGTAGCGGCCGAAGGGGCGGGCTTGCGGGCTGGGGGCGTCTCCGCTGCTTTCAGCTCGTTTGGCGGCGCAAGATGGCGGACATCTCCTTGGACGAACTCATCAGGAAGCGCGGGGCGGCGGCGAAAGGACGGTGAGAGGCCTTTTCTTCCTTTGGGGTTTAGGGTCCGCGACCTAGTGGAGCTCGAAGCGGGGGAGGGAGCGGCCCGGACGCGACGCGGAGAACCGGGTGCGCCCGCCCCCAGTCGCAGCCGCGCTCCTCATTGGCCGGGCCGCCGCCGTCGCCACCGCGGCCCCGACCGGCCGCCCGCCCACTGGCCGAGGCGCAGTCCCTCCAGCCGGCTGGGTAGGCCGACCAGGCCGCGGCGGGGTCGGATGCCAGGCTCGTGGGGCTGAGGGGCTGCCCCCTGGGGCTCTCGCGTTTCGGGGACCGGGGGTCTCGGCGGCGCAGCCCCCTCGCTTGTCTGGACTGGCATTTGGTCCCCGCTCGGTGATCTCGGCACTGCCTGGTCTCCACCCATCGTAGAGTTGAGACAACCGAAGTTTAGCTGCAGGGAAGTGACTTGCTCCGACTGCAGCAGCTGAGGCGCAAACCCAAATCCTGCGCCGGTTTCCTGACTCCACGCGGCCTCTGTTAACACTCGCCTCTCTTTGTGCCTCGTTTTAAGTTTTCTAAGCCCTTTCATATACACGATGGATTATTTAATCTTTTACTGTCCTGTTGCCTGCTAGCTATTCGCGTTACCCCCTTTTACTGATGGGAAACGAGGCTGGGAGAGGTAGGGCGACTTGCCCGAAGCCACGGAGAACTGAGCGGCGGGGCTGAGTGCTTTTTAATTGCTGGCTGAGTTGGCCTCGTTCGAGGGCTTGAAAAACAGGTGGGCTGGGCTGGAGATTGGCCATTTCCTTAGCGGGGAGAAAGTGCTAGAGCTACGTGAGGAGCCACGTAGGTGATTTGCGTTCATGTCTCCGAAACTTCCTCGAGACCCTTAAATGTTATTAGTCTTGCCTTTGTTTGCTGAACTGTTTGAAGAAGTGAGAACTTGCCCAGTAGTTTCCCAGCACACATTACGTAAGTTTAAATGTCTTTGTAAACAGCC